AAAGTATTCGATATTGATTTGTTTGTAAATAATACTTATTTGAAACTTTCAATTATTGGTAAATTTAAAGAAATGGCTATACGATAAATTCGCCACCTAATTTCTAGTATTAATATAGTTATTAGCCTGCCTTATATATTACTAGTAACGTCGAGATTAATATTAGATGTATATCGTTGAGTACTTTCCGAGGCTTATAGTCTAGATTATATAATGTTATATATCGTAGTCTTTCCACTTAGTATTATTAATTATAGTAAGAAGGTCTCCTTTTTAGACGAGTAAGTCCTACATTTATATTAACCCTTTTTATATTAATATTGATTTTTCGGATCTACCCGTACTTTACCCCTTTCCCGGCTGTATACTTTTAGGGAGAATGCTAGGTAAAATACAGTAGATTTGTTATATACCCGTCGATCTAATATATTATCGCCTCCTACTTGTATTATAGTACGTAATACTATATTATTATTATAAAGATAATGTAATACTTTTATACTACATATATATATAAGAAATCTACAATCTACTCTATAATAAGTTCCGAAACTATATCCGAACTTTAATTTAGGCGTCTATAGTATAGTTTTATTAACTGCGTGTGTATTCTATATAGCCTACAAGCGCTATACTTTTAATATCGGTAATTATATTCGCTACCGAGACGGGGATTTGGGCCATATTAACTATATTTTTAAATACAAAATAACTTATAAGTATAAACGCCGCATTTTTCTTATATTAATAAAGGTAGCTTTGAGTAATACTATTATATTATTCGACCTTAAAGCAATTAAGGATATTGGCGAACCTATTATTATTAGTCTCATAGTTATTCGAATTGATTATATATATATTATTGATATTTCGAAGTTTAACGACCGCTACAAGCCTAGCTACTAGCCGCGATAGGCCTTAGTGAATTAAAATATTATTTTAATATAATTTTAGTTTAGTAGCAATTATTAATCCCGTTCCCCATTATTTACTTAACTATTATAATTATCTCTAACTAAATATATAATAGGCATTCTATATAGTATAAAAAAAGGTGCGTACAACTATATAGTATATTCTATATACTTTTAATTACTACTAATATTTTATTTAATAGGTATAGTATTATATATTTTAATATCGTCTCATTTATTCTCCATCATCTAATCTAATATCCAGAAATCATTAGACCAATTTATAAATTATAATATTTAACTAGTATATTTATTTCTATCTATTTGTACGCAGAATAGTATATAGGACTATTCTTCCGAATTTGCCCTAGCTATTAGAAGTCTAATACTGGTTACACACCACAGTAGCTACAGCCTATTATATACCGCATTTAATTCAGCGTATCACTATACATTCAATTCATCGCGTCGCTGTACAGTCAATTCATTGCATCGCTGTACATTCATTTTATCGCATCGCTATATATTCAATTTATTACATCGCTATATATTACATTGCATTCGGACCGGCGCGCAGCGCCGGGCGCCGGTATAGAGCAGTATACGTATAGGTGCAGGTGTAGGTGTAGTGCCGGGGTCGGAGTCGGGGTGCAATACTAGGAATACTAACTACAAGTATAGGTACTAGGGTAGGTATGGGCCGTACGCGCTAAGTAGGCGGCAGGCAGCTGGTATATTATATTATAGTATATAATTGAAATTTTCAATATATAACGGTTGGGCGGGGCGTGATAGTGCGGGTAACCAACCTATATACCTATATACAGGTCGGTCGCAACTCCTTAACTAAGTTTACAATCGCCCACTATAGACAAATGTAACTGGGTAAGAATCTCCTTTGCGCTTGCTAAATGTAATTTAAATATACTATTTGCAAACAATAGTCTGCGAGTTACAATAGGGGAACTATATTTCGCCGTAGCATAGGACAGAACGACTATAATCGTTCGGGAACCATATTGCAATTATAAGGCGGTCCCCGGGTGGGCTAGGTAAGCTATATAAAGAGGGTTCCCTTTACTAAATGCCGAACGATCTAAGGGCGAATATATTTCTATAGCACCGTCCTCGTCGACCCTATTAATATAGAGCTTCACCTTATACTCCTCCACTACATCTATAATTTACCGTTAACCGAATATCTAGGCTACGAAAAGACTTATTCATTGGGAAACCCTACCCGCACCCCAACGGTTCCTACGCGCACCCTTCCCCACCCAGAAAAATGGGGCGGTCCAGCTAATGATACCTAATATTGTAAATCCCGTTTTTACCCGCGAAATTTCGTCTTTCAAATGCACCCAACATACCTACCCTCTAATATAGTCATTTCTTTTACTCTTTTTGACATGCCCAGTTGCACCGCTATTGAACTACACCTATTGCTTTGTACTACATTCATTTGCATTCAATATACTTAATATATTCAATAGACGAGAATGAGGAGTTGAGTTGATACTATGAGGAGAGAGCACGGCGGCGAGAGGAGGCACAACTTACAAGGGTGGGTGACCCAGCTACGAATGTTACCAGACATCAAAAACATGGAAATTTACCGGCTGACATAGGGTGCGCGTAGGAACCGTTGGGGTGCGGGTAGGGTTTCCCTATTTATTACTATTACAATCCTTCTTTTAGTTAAGGATATATATTACTACTAGATTATATTATAAGGCTTGCTTAGTATACGCTAAATCTAAGCTATTGCAATACACCCCCTATAGCTTTTTAAAACCGTTGCCGGTATTATTTACTATCATAGGGCTAGCGCCCAGGATTAAAGACTCGGCTTTGCCAAGTCTGCCAAGCCGGGACCAGCTGTATCGATAAGGATGCGAGCCTCCTAGTTGGTCGGATCCACATGTTTGCCTGGCCCGTGCGGTCTTGGCGCCCTGTACAAAATCTTCTCTAAACTGCACCCTTCTGGTGCAGTCTTCCCTTTTGTTCTCTTCGTTAAATATAGTATTTTAACCTTATACGACTACTCGCTGTATAATACTCTGGTAGACCCGTTATATTATATTTGACCCTCTTTTCAATCCCCGTTGCCAACCTCTTGTAGGCACGCCCAAAGAGTCTCTCCCATTTACAATAATAACGCCGACCGCCTTCCCCGCGATCCCTTGGTCCTAAGATCCCTAAGAGTGTTTGTAGTAATTTATAGCCGCCTTCTAGACGTTGTTGACCGAGGTTATTTTAAGGCCCGCCGCTGCGCTGAAGTAGGTACTTCCCTAACTCGAAAAGTTCTTAAGGAGTAAGGAAGAGTTCGAAACCTAGATTTTGAGCGCGTAGGCTAAACTCCATATAGATAAATCTGCTATTAGCGATATAGAAGCGTAGTTTTACTACCTACTCGTTTGCTTATTGCCTATTGTTAAGAAGCTATTCGTTGCTTTTGCTGCCCAAGGCCTACGGTCGCCGTTTGAGTTATTTTTAAAGCTCCGGCTTACTTATAGCGATCCTAATGCTATAAAGCGCGTTAGTTAAGAGTTCTAACGATTTTATTAGAAGTTAGGTGAATTAATGGTAGTTTTCTTCGCCCGCTTTGAGGAAGTGCTTTACTGTATTCGTAGTAATTTATAGTTAGAAGTAATTAAAATTAGTTAGTTTATTACTACTTTGAGCAACGATTGGAAGTAAAGGCTTTCCGACCGAACCAACGTACTTAAATAATATTCTCTATTACTTAAATACCTTCGCCGATTTAACGGCAATTCTTTTTTTTTCGCCTCGATATCGAGTTCGAGGTAACCGGTTAATAATAATAATGCTAGTAATCCTATAGATACCTCTATTAATACTTCGGCGATAATATTAAAATTACCGTTACAGAAGTAGAGAAATAGGTGGAAGAAGGAGGGTAAGTGTACTAATTGCGGTAGTGGATCGTACTAGTTCAAGAAGTACCTTCGGATTTCGAAGATGAATACGGTCCGGCTATAATCCGGTAGGGGCTTAAATAGCTACAGTAGCAATACCGAAGGGGGAAAAGACTCGGACTAAGAGTCGCTTAATAATATTAGGGGTAGGGGAATATTGCTAAATCTAAAAGGAAGGACCGGGTAATTTATTGGGTATACCGTTTATTAGCTAGATATATAATAAGACTACTGTATAGTACCCCTTACTATTTAGCCGCGTTAGTAGTATGTATTGTAAAGACGTAACCGTTAGAGGGCAATAAGCATTATATTTTATAAGTATAAGGATTATTAAGGCTACCCCCTAACGAGGGGGTTATAATAATTATAATTATAATAGCGTAGTAGCCCCTATTGGCAAGAGAAGTAAAGCGATATAAAATATTAGGTAATAGCTTTAATTTTAATTATTAACCGAGTATAGATTTGCTGCCGCGGTAAGAGAGGTCCCCGGATGGGCAAGGTCTAAAAATATCCCTAAATTAAATCTTAGTACCTACGGCCATAGGGGCGCAGCTCTATAAGGGTGACGGTAGGCGTATTAATTACTAATTCGGGTAGTAGGTAGATAATCGTATAGCGTTTGTTTGGGAGCTTAAATAGAGAAATCTTTCTTTTCTAGTATTATTATTCGTGCTTATTTAGTTAAGCGTTTAGCTAAGAGCGGTTATAAGGGATTTTAGTTATTCTTCATATATTTAACGGTACAAACTTTTCTAGTACGGTAGACCGGGCTCCTTAAGGGGGGAGCAGGGGGGTAATATTATAGGGCTAGCGCCTAGGATTAAAGATTCGGCCTTGCTAAGTCTGCTAAGCCGGGACCAGCTGTATCGATAAGGATGCGAGCCTCCTGGTTGGTCGGATCTACATGTTTGCCTGGCCCGTGCGGTCTTGGCGCCCTGCACAAAACCTTCTCCAGACTGTACCCTTCTAGTACAGTCTCCCCTTTTACTCTCTTTATTAAATATAGTATTTCAACCTTACACAACTGCTCGCTGTACAATACTCTGGCAGACCCGTTACATTTACACTATAGAAGGATATTTCCGTTAATTACATTACCCCGCTAACCGCCTATATACACTACGGGTAGGAATTTAAATACATCGTTATCGTTATCGACCGCCTTACTAAAATAAGGTACTATATTCCTACCGTCGGTTTAACGGTAGAGGAATTAGCGGAGTATTTTATTAAAAAAGTCTATAGTATTTACGGTTTATTGGACTCTATTATTTCCAACCGCAGTGTTTAATTTATTTTATAATTTTAGAGGGCTTTATTATTATGATTAGAAATCGCCCTTAAGCCCTCCTCCGCTTTCTACCCTACTACTAACGGTTAAACCGAGCGTATTAATATAGAAATAGAAAAATACCTTCGTCTCTATATTAATTAAGCTTAGGATAATTGGGTACATTGGCTATTAATTGCAAAATTTGCTAATAATAATTTGGTATTGAAAATTACAAGTATTTCTCCCTTCTTTACTAATTATAGTTTTTACTTATATATAGGCATCGAACTAGCGAAATTATACCCGCCTGAAATATCGGTAGTACAATAAGTAGAGTACTTTAAAGTTGATAAATTAACTGACCGTTTTAAGAGAGTTTTAGACTTCATTACTAATTAAGCCCGGTAAATATAATAACACTACAAAAATAATACAAACAACCGATGGTCGGATGCTCCGAAATATAAGGTAGGAAATAAGGTTCTTTTTAATACTGAGAACCTCGATACTAGCCGGCCCTACGCTAAATTTATACCCCTCTTCGAAAGACCTTTTAAAATCCTCAAAGCAGATAACTATTGGGTGACGTTTAAATTTTTAATTAATATAAAGTATAGCTTAATATTCTATATTAATAAAGTTAAACTATAGGATGAGGAGGGTTTCCCGGGATAGACGGTTATAGAGGAATAGGATGTTCGTACTAACTATGGCTATACTATAAGGAGGACCGACAACGGGGAGGATTTTATTGAATACGAACTCGAGTAAATTAATAAATACTAGAAGAACGATAAAGGTTGTTAGGAATACTTTATAATTTGGGTACCCCTATATACACCGTTATAGCAGCTACGCGCCGATGTATCTATAACCCCTAATACTATATAGGCTTTCTATAACGGTTACTCCAATGCGTTATATCCCCCGGATTGGGCGGTAATAGAGAAGAGGCGAAGGCGGTTAGAGACGGAGGGAGATTATAGTTATAGAGGGGAGAAGGAGGTAGAGCGGGAGGTTTTAGTTCTGCAACGGAGGTTATAATAGTACCCGCTGGCGGCGGTAGTAAAAGCTTTTTAAGAATAGACCGCTCGTTTAATAAGGATTTCTATTATTTTATATAATATTAATTAGCTATATAGCTTCTTTTAATCCGGGGAAGTATTATAGGGTTAGCCTGTATGCCTTGTGCCTAGTGCTAATATATAGCAATTTCTAAGATTGTTGTACGTTATTATTATTGCCGGCTATGACTATTGTTGGTAGTTGATTGGTTAGAGCGCTACCTGCTGCGGGTTTATAGACCCGTTGGCGGCCGCCCTTATAAGGCTAGCCTTCCGGGTACTCGGCTGTACACCTCTCTTCCTTTCTCCTTCGTGCAATTACGTATATTTACATCTACTATCTACCCTTTGCCCGTAATACTTAGTGGTTTATTAAAATCGATATTCGATAAGCGTTTTATTATATTTATATAAGGCTAGAGGACGAAGAATTTACTACTTTCTATACTAGTATAGGAGTTTATAAATATAAAGTACTATTGTTCAGTTTGATTAACGGTCTAGCTTGTTTCTAAACCTTTATTAATTCGATTTTAGGGCTATACTTAGGAGACTTCTATATTATATATATTAATAATATCCTTATTTACTCTAATACCTTCGAGGAGTAGAACGATTACGTTTGTAAAGTATTAGCGAAATTAAAGGATATTAGATTATTGAGGCGCCCATGCCTTCCAGAGAGCTTCGTTATCGTAGGCCCCGGTGACATGGAAGAATCCGCACCAAAGGTCGTGGTCCATAGGCCCACCCAACGCAAGCGAGGAAGGCGCGGCGTATCTGTCTATTAGCGGTTAGAATGCAAAAAAGAAGGTCAATATGTGATCCGTGCGCTCTGTCTTGGCAGTCCCAAAGGAGAAAACTTGGCGCCAAGCAAGACACGGTTCGAATAGCAGCCCAAAAAAGCCACTTTTTCCTTTGCAATTGGAATTGCTCCGCGACCGTCGCGTGCGCCAAAATGCATCTGGTGTCAAAATGACCGCCTTCTTTTTCTCATCATTTTGGTACCGGTTGCGCGTTGTCCAGTCAGATGGTCGTTGAGAAAATTGAGAAAAAAGGAGTTTTGGTTGCAAATGCGACCGCGGCGTTGCAAATGACCAAGTCCCAGAAATGACCAAGTCCCAGAAATGACTAAGTCCCAAAAATGACTAAGTCTTAGAAATGATTAAGTTCCAAACTACACTTTTGACCCTAAAGGATTAGGAAGAGGGTTAGGGCTAGGGTTGAAAGCTAGAAATTCTAGGAAAGAGAAAAAAAAAATTCAAAATTTTGTCTGAGTTTTTTTTTTTTTTCTTTTTTTGTTTCTTTTTTACCTTAAGTCTCATAGTATAGGGGAGAAAGTCCGGTTAGTTACTATAATAAGTAATTAAGGCTAGTGGCCTAGTGGTTATTATTATTACTACTCTTTCGAAGGTTGTATGTTCAATCCAGCTTTGAGTTTAAAGTTTTTTTTTTTTTCGGAAAAAAAAATTACTAGAGATTCTAAGTCTGGGCGCCTCTCTGTCTCCCCTGGACTTTGGCTCCGCCCAGGGGAACTGTATTTTAAATCAAATTAAACAAGTATAAATTTTAGGTTATAAAGACGAAGTTCCTACAATTTATTATAGGGTATAATAATATTTTCATTAACCTAGAGAAGGTTGAGGTTATTAAGGATTGGGTTGTCCCTTTTAACCTATAAGGAGTATAGTCCCTCCTAGGATTTTACAATTTCTATTAAAAGTTTATTAGGAATTACGGCCGGGTGGTTCGTCCTTTTACTAATTTGATTAAGAAGGGCGGAGTATTTATATAAATTAATAAGTGTTACGCGGCCTTCAATGAATTGAAGTAGTTATTAGTAAATGCCCCTTTGTTGAGATATTTTAACAATAATACTGAAATACGGATTAAAATTAATGTTAATAATAGGATTTTTATAGGAGTCCTATTCTAATATTAAGAAGATACGAAGAAATGGCACCCTATTGCTTACTTAGAGATAATGTAATAGGTTAAATATAATTATTTAGTTTATAATAAGGAGTTATTTATAGTTACTAGGGCCCTTTGGACTTGGTAATCCGAGCTAGTCGGTTTAAAGTAGTTAAAGCCTTTTGTAATTGTTATAAATTATTAAGCACTAGAATATTTTAGTATCAAATGATCATTCAATTTGTGATAAGTTGGTTGGGCTGAGCTCCTATCCTAATATAATTTTGAAATTATTTATTACTTTAGTATTAAAAACGCGGCTGCTGATACTTTATTATATAAATTAGAAGACTTTAATATTTAGAAGGATAAAAAGGAGGTGTATTATACCCTTTAAATATTTAAATTATTAATAAATAAAGGTAATAGAGGTAAGGTTATTGTTTTAGCCTCTATTGCTATATTAAATGGTATGTTGGAGGAGTTGGTGCCGTTCTTTGCGCTGGATATTGAGAATTTGGAATTGTGCTTAATTGAATTTGAGGGTTACGAATTGGTCGATGCGATTATAAAGGTTAATTGCAAAGAGGAATCCCTAGAGGAATACTATATACGCGCCTATAAATCCGACCCTAAAATTATAATAATAGCCAACAGCCTATTAATATATTAGGGCCGCCTTATTATTCCTGTTAGGGATAATTTTCAAATTTGTATTATTAATATTATTTATTTAACTTTAATAATAGTTTAACCTAGCCGAAATAAGATACGAATAATTTTAAGTGAATAGTATTGGTAGTCCGGTATTGCGGGAGATATTGATTGTTTTGTTAAAAATTGTATAGTTTGTTAGGCTAGTAAAGTGCTTAAAGATAAAACCCTGGGTAAATTGTACCCTATCCTACCGTTCGATAGGAAATAGACCTCGATTGTAATTGACTTTAAGAAAACATTTAAGGATAAATACAGTTATAATAATACTTTCGTAATGAGAAACTCTATCCGCACGTGGATAAAACTCTATCCGCACGTGGATCCACTTTAGCTTTCTAAGTATAACTTAGCTAAAAGAGGTCGGATAAAAGTAAAAGTAGTATCAAATTATTTATTGATTTTCTATGGATTTTTGAATATACATATCCTCATTACTAGGCTAGGCATTAGCTAGATTCTATTTTCAGCCTCTTTTATGTTTTAATATCTTTATTATTTTCTTTATATCTCTCTCGTATCTTCTAAAATTCCTCAGCACTCAAGGCACTTATCTTAACGTACCGAGCAGTGTGAGATAGAGAAAAAAAATCAGGAAAAATCTAATATAGTTTATAACCCTCTATTAAAGTTGTAGATATTAGAAAAGTATTGTTGAAGTTAGCTTTTTCTTCCACGTGCGGATAGAGTTTTGTCCACGTGCGGATAGAGTTTCTCTTCGTAATAGTAGACCGTCTAATTTAATTATTATAGGTTATATTCTATATAGAAAGAGCTACCTCCTAGGACGTTACCCGAATATATTATAAGGGACTTTATAGGGTTTATAATATCTGAAAAGAAGTTATTTTCAATTATAGTTCTTAGTTTATATCTGCCTTTATTAACGAAATATTTAAATTAATTGGTACGAAGTAGAAGCTAGCTATTGCGGGCTATAGTTAATTAGCGGGGTAGGTAGAAATTATAAACATTTACTTCGATTAGCCATTTTATCCCTTTATTAATTACTATTAAAACGATTGGTTAGAAGCGATCTTAGTACTAGATGTTATATAAAGTAGCCTTCCTTGAAATAGTACTAGCCTCTCCCCTTACGAAGTTATATTTAATTGCCTAATATATATACCCTTCGATTGGGAAGCCCGAATTTAGGACCCTACTATTCCCCGGACTAAATAATTAATTAGGGAGTAAATTTAAAAATATATTTAATATATTTATAAATATATAGAGTACGTTAAAGAAATAATTAAGACGGTCTAGGAAGAGTAGGTTTAACAAATTAATAAGAGATAAAGAGATTTAGACTTCAATGTCGGCAACCGAATTATTATTATTAAACGGCTATAGTTAATAATAATTCGTCCTAGCGATAAATTGTTGGTGGGTCCCGGGCATTCACTGGGCTGGGCAGAGCCCAGTCCCCACTCTGTGCCCTGCCCAGACCGCACCACATCTAGCCTTCTGGACTCCGCCAGTCTCCCTCTCTCTCTCTCTCTATAGTACACTCAATTAATCGTATCTAACCGCTTGATCTCGTTGGTAATCTCATAGGTTATAAGCCCTCTCTAACCTTCCCTGTGATCGCATTCAACGGGCGCATCTTCAAAGCGTATTGTTAATTTCATTAAGGCGCTATAGTACCGGGTCTACAAACTATTACGACCTTCGTCTATTTAACAACTCGCTAGTTCGCCCGTAAACTAGCTTCGCTATATAAAGATTCTCGCTAATACTTATTATTTAGCGACCCCTCTATTGAATTAATTATTAATTCCTCTATTGAATTAGGTATTAGTTCTATTAAATCTATTATCGAATTAAGCGATTCTATTAAATTAATTAGTAGCTAGTCTAGTGACTCCCACTCCTCTTCTTTTTCAGATACGCGACTTTAATAATTCGATTGCCGCTAATATATCGAACCCTCCTATACCAACTACGACCATTAGTTCGTTGCTAGTTCCCCTTCTTAGCGACCAAAATATCGCTAATTAGCATTAGGGACTTATAGCCGAGCTTAATTGCTTTCAATTCGCCGAGTATATTTTGAAGATAATCGAGGAACCTAATAAGGTAATAGAACCCGAAAAGTATAATATTTAATAGATTAAACGTACTAATACTAATAAAATTCTACTTTCTACTCTTAAGAACCCCGCTATTATTACTACTTTAATTATTAATAGTTAGGATAGAATTAGTAGAAATTCTAAGGTTATATATAATTTTATTTAATTTTATATTACCCGTATTACTAACGAAGTTCGTAGCGAAGTCTTCGCCGAATATTTAGCTATTAAACGTACTAACTTTAATACTATAGCTTTTTCCTTACCTATTATACTTTGCTCTATAAGTATATTAAAAACGCTAAGTTTACGGTAGATAAAAATGTTAAGGTTATCTTCCTTTATAATACTATAAAGGATACCTATTCTATCGATACTAGATACTAGGCAGCCGCTTTAGAAGACGGCGACTTCGATACCGGTTCTTTCCTAATTAAATTCAGTAATATTAGCAACGTGGAGTCCCGTACTAATATTAACGTTAATATCTAGAAGTTAGCCAATAATAGTAATAATACTAATAAGAATAATAATAATAGTCGCTCGGCTAATAAGAAGAAGGATAATAAGAGAATCGATTATACTAGTTGTAATAGGAAGATCTATACCAACTAAAAGTATATCTCCTACAATTATTATATTAATAAATAAACGGACGTCTGCTAGGTCTGCTTCCCTAAGAAGGCGCCCGATACTTAGAGGCCCAAGAAGGAGATATTAGCCAAGAAGGCCGCCAACGCTAGTACTACTGCCCTTACTAATAATATTTTTACTAATTTAATTACTCCCACCACTACTACTAACTCTACTTTATTATATAGAGGTGGAATATTTATAGGCATAACCAATATAGGTAATAATATAGATTTTTACTAGAGCCCCTAACCGACGCTCTTGAGCGTATTAATTATACTTAGAATAGTCAATTAATCGATTCTTCTTAATTATAACTTTAATATACCTATAGTAATCCTACTAAAGTCTAATAGGCTTAAAGGCAGTTACTAAACAGTATCAGAAATAACCAGATTTCTAAATAATATCTTTAACCACCTTAAATAATTTATAGATATACTACTACTCCCCCATCTAATAATTTATACGGTCGGTAATAGAACTTCGATTTATACCTACTATATTAGTACCGTCGAATTAATTATAGCTACTTTAAATAATATAACCGTTAAGGTTAGAATCAAAGATTGTATTTATAGTCCTTCTACCCTAGCGAATCTATTAATAATAAGAGGTCTTCCTAATAATAGTA